ATATATTAAAATTTTATAAGCAGCAGAGGATCCCTCATGTGGCTGTGAAAGCTAAAAACAAGATGTAATCAAAGAAAGCATGGGTGCTCCCAGATCTCACAGGACAAATGTTTAAAATAATAAGTAACCTAAACCTTAGATATAACAACTAGCCAGTTTAAGTATATGTGTAATGAATTCTCTTAGATTCGCTCTACATTCCAGACAAGATAGTGTTGGCAGGCACTGATCCCACAGACCTGTGTCATTTGTCTTCTTATCCAAACACAAACCTGAGGAAGAAAGGATTTCATGAGATATTTTGATGAATAGCCAAACAACTCATTGAAACCCACTGATTTCCCTGTTCCCATGGACTATAAATAGCTCATCTCAGGTGCAAAACCTAATCAATCTCATGGTGTATTATTCAATTTGTGATTTGTATGACTGGCTAATAAATCTCTAGCATTGTTTTTACCTTTTTTGACTCTTAGAAATTATTCAACATTCCCCTCATAAAGAAGTGGATGGCTTCATTGATTATTTCTGAAATCTTATTCAATGGATATTAGATCTTGAAGGTAAACTGATTTCCTCTGCTGTTTTTCTGGGCTAATGATAACTTTTAAGAAAATCATTATAACTTTGTTTTCTCTCCTTTAGATTTTAATTTTGCTCTACTCTTTCAGGATAAGTATTTAAGAACTAATGTCACTGTTAACTATGTGTAACCTAATGTTTCTATTAACTGTACATTAAGAAAATCAGATTAAGTTAGACATTACTTAAAATAATTTCCTTTCAAACTCCCCCTCCAAACAGAAGTAAAGAGGGGAAAAGATAAATACAAGAAAGTACATGGCTAAGGAACATGTCAAGTGATCGAGGATAAAATCTAATTTCAACCATGGTGTATAATTAGGTTAACATGTCTGAGCAAGAACAGAAAGTGTAGATCCACCTGCTTTGGAAAATAAGAATGTGTTCTGGGGATGTTTTTGAGCTACTTAAAAAGGAGATAGAGAAATCAGGATCTTATTAACTTTTGGAGCTTCACTGCCTATCCCTTCTCCAGGACTGTATTATCTGGAACATATCCAAGCAAGTAGAAGGCAGGCACCAAAGTTAAGAACTTTATATATATATATATATATATCACATATTCTTGATGATCTGGGTTTGATTGTACAGCATCTAAGAAAACAGAACATTAACAGGACAAAGTAGGGCCTTTAAGGGTGAACTACAAGTGTCTTCATAACTCACATTCTATTCCTTCACATAGGAAAATATCAGGGTCACACAAGAATCTCCCATTCCAAATATAGACTCTGGTGTTTTCCATTTTGACATCTCCTTTGAAACGTGAGGACTCTTTAATTGGGTATCAAAACTTCATTTCCTTGTACTGTGGAGGTGGTGCTCAGATTCCAAACAAGTTTATACTATAACTGGTGATCCATTCATGTCAACTGAAAGTTTTCACCTGTGTACAATGGGTTAACTATAATTCTCATATAAGAGCCTGGAGGAATCATTAGGAGATATCAAGATGATATTCCTTTATATATATTTCAAATTACAACTGAAAATGTTTCTCAGATTTAAATGCTATTCTGAATTGTGTTTTTTTTGTTCTTCACTATCTAGCATCTTCAATTAAAGAGGCAACAAAGTTCTCATGTGGCTCACTGGCAATTATATAAGTAAAAAAGATGGCATTGATTTTTCTCCTTTACATTAGTCTACAACACTTTCTTCCCCCAAACCTCTTCTGTTTGTGGAAAAAGACTAGAAGAACTCCTTATACAAAGTAATCAATTTCTGTGCTACCCTGTTCTCAAGTTTAGGCAGAAAAATTGTCAACTGCTGAATTGATAATTATTTATCTGGAGAAAATTCAAGGAGTTTACCTATCTGTTCTGTAGGACATGGCACTGTAGGATCAACACTGGACTGTTAATCATAAGGTTGGTTGTTCAAACCCACCAGTCAGTCCTTGGAAACCCTACACAGGGTCACTGTGAGTCAGAACTGGTTTGACTGCACTTAATAACAACACCTATCTCTTCTATTTACTGATGAAGACCAAAAACTACAGCCTTCAATATACGTTGTACCTCAATGTAAACAAAACAAAAATCCTCATCACTGGACAAATAAATAACATCATGATAAATGGAGAAAAGATTGAAGTTGTCAAAGACTTCATTTTGCTTGTATCCACTATCAACACACATGGAAGCAGCAGTCAAGAAATTAAATGATGCATTAGGCAAATCTGCTGCACAAGACCTCTTTGAAGTTCTCAAGAACAAAAATATGTTTGAGGACTAAGATACGCCTGACCCAATTCATGGTATTTTCAATAGCCTCATATGCATGCAAATGAATAAAGAAGAATGTAGAAGAATTGATGCACTTGAGTTATGGTGTTGGAGAAGAATATTAAAAGCACCAAGGACTGCCAGAAGAACAAACACATCTGTGTCTGAAGAAGTACAGACAGAATGCTTCTTAGAAACGAGGAGACTGAGACTTCAACTCTCATACTTCAGACATATTGTTAGGCGGGACCAATCCCTGGAGAAGGACATTATGGTTGGTGAAGTGGAGGGTCAGAAAAAAAGTCCAACGAGATGAACTGGCAAAGTGGCAGCAGCAATAGGCTCAAGTGTAACAACGATTGTGAGGATGGCACATTATGTGTAATTGGTGAGGCTCTGAAGAGTAGCTACAATAAGATACTAATGAAAAGAGTAAGTACTGAAGTCTAAGCCAATTGTTCTCACCTGGGTCTCATCCCAAGCCAGTTAAATTACAGTCTTTGGGAGACAGATGTTGGAACTAGAAGTCTAGAAAGTCCCTTAGGTGATTCCAATATGCAACAGAAACAGGGGCACTGAAAAGACTTGTGGCCCAAATGAGGGGGTCAACCCTCCTCCAGGGAACAAAGGCAATATCAGCAAACAGGAATGGTTGAATTGGTTACAACAATCCTAACTACTAAGAATGGGGGAAAAAATACAACAATGCCTTTCCACAATTTCTATGATCCTTCTATGATTTTCTTTCACCTAAAAATTCCAAGCTTTCCTCCAGTATGGCAGGCAGATCTGGGGCATTCCTACTCCCCTGTCCACCTGTATATAATAACTGCCTTGCTCTTTGCTGAGTTCTGTCACTGAGTATAGGCTGTGTCTGAGACAGGTGACTGAAAACCCCATTGCAGCTATATACCTTGCAGAAGCTGATCTGTGTAGTTATGATGATAAACTCCTTATTATGGAGTGAATTGTGTTGCCCAAAAAGACATATGGTAATACTAACTGCTGAGCCTGTAAATATAACCCTATTTGGAAATAGCGATTTTATTTTGCTATGTTACTGAGGTCATAACCAAGTAGGGTGGGTCCTAAACCTAGTCGCTTCTAGGTGGTATTTTATTTAAAAAAAAAAAAAGCAGAATAGACACAAGGAGAACAGACCATGTAAAGATCTGTCTACAAGCCAAAAAACCAAAAAGCAAACCCACTGTCATCTAGTTGATTTCAACACTAGCCACCCTGCATAGGGTTTTCAAGACTGGAAATCTTTATGGGAGGAGGCAGCTTCATCTGCAGTCCAGCGCTTATCCTACAGATCCACCAGCCACAGAAAATACTATTAATGTCTAGAAACTGAAGAGGCACAGAAAGTTGTTCCCCTAGAGCAGGGGTGTTGTTGTTAAGTGCCGTTGAGTTGGCTCCGACTCATAGCAACCTGTATAGGGATTTTGAGGACTTGCCAGTGAGGTTGAACTGCCAACCTTGTGGTTCAAACAGACCTTGCAGTCCAGTGTGTTAACTCACAGTGCCATACCAGGACTCCAGAGCAGGGGTACAGGGGTGCAGAATCTTTTTTCTGCCAAAATTTGTAACATCATTCACAGGCCATACAAAATTATCGATTTAAAAATTAGTCTGCTGTATTTGGTCAAACATTTAATTAACTCATCCCTAATGATGGCTGGAGTCCTGGTGTGGCACTGTGAGTTATTGTGCCAGACTGCAAAGTCATTTGAACTGCACGGTTGGCAGTTCAAGCTCACCAGCTGCTCCTCGGAAACCCTATAGAGGGTTGTTATGGGTTGGAACTGACTTGACGGCACTTAACAACAACAATATGATGGCTGAAACTGTGGTTGCATTGGCAGAGCCAAATCAAATGATTTTGAGGGCCTTATAAGGCATGTCACTATGGGTCGTAATTGACTTGACAGCACTTAACAACAACAATAATAAGGCACGTGGGCCAGATGTTCCCTACCCCGGCCCGAGAGAGAGAAAGAAAAAGAGAGAGCACCTAGCCCTGCCAACATCCTGAGTTCAGACTTTTGGCCTCCAAAATTGAGACAGGACATTCTTGATTTTTAAAGCCACTCACTTGTGGCATTTGTGTTATGAAGAGTACTAGTAAACTAAAGCACTCCTAGATGTTAAGACACACTAGAAGCAAAAATTACAGGAAATTTTAGGGCACATATTAAGTTAAGCTATTATATGCATTATTAATTTGAGGGTATTTTATAACTCTTTTTTATTAGGAACAGTTACCTACATAACTTAAGTATATTAGAACAGGAGCATAATAGACCCCCAGTCTAGTTACCGAAGCACAGATAGGTGCCTTGTACTGGCAAACATGCATAAACACACATATTCTAGAGAATGACATAGTAAAATTTGAATGTATAAGAATCCTATATTATAAATATGCAAAACTCCAAAGTACCTTTGAAATCATCTACTCTAAATCCCTCATTTCAGAGATAAGGAAACTGAAGCTTAAAATGGTTGCACTTCCCAATGTCACATAGTTGGATTATTTTAATCCATTATACTTGCCATTCCATAATGTAACTGTGCAAACTTAAAATATTTAAGTGGTTTTTCAGTTCATTTTGGTCCTTCTGCACTTAACAAAGAGACCAACTAGATTGAATGTATCCCCCTAAACTTCCGATGTTCCTGTAATAGTCATATGCCAGGATGAAGTCTCTGATGTTTGCTGAGAGCAGACTGATATCTAAACGCTTTTCCACAATCATCACATCCAAAAGGCTTCTCTCCTGAATGAATTCTCAGATGCTGAGTTAGGTATGTGCTCTGGCTGAAAGTTTTCCTGCATTCATTACAGTTATAAGGTTTCTCTCCAGTATGAGTATTCTGATGTTCAGTGAGATGAGTAATCCGACTAAATGCTTTGTCACATTTATTGCACTTATAGGGCTTCTCTCCAGTGTGAATTTGTTGATGCTGAGTCAGATGTGAGCTTTGGCTAAAAGCCTTATCACATGTATTACGCTGATAGGGTTTTTCTTCTGTGTGAGTTTTTTGATGTTGAGCAAGAGATGAGCAATGACGAAAGGCTTTTCCACACTCAGTACATTCATACGGCTTTGCTCCTGTATGAATTCTCTTATGCTGTGTAAGGTGTATGTTCTGGTTGAAGGCTCTCCCACATTCATTACATTTGTAAGGTCTTTCTCCAGTATGTATTTTCCTGTGTTGAATAAGGGATGAGCCATAACTGAAGGTTTTCCCACATTCATGACACTGATAGGGTTTCTCTCCAGTATGAATTCTCTCATGTTTAGCAAGAGATGAACTCCGAATAAAGGCTTTTCCACATACCTTACATTCATAGGCTTTCTCTTGGGTATGAGTTTTCTGGTGTTGATTTAGGTTTGAGAGATAACTGAAAGCCTTTCCACATTCATTGCACTCAAAGGGCTTTTCTCTGGTGTGAATTCTCCGATGTTGAGTAAGGGATGAGCAGTAACTGAAGGCCTTCCCACATTCATTGCATTTGTAAGGTTTTTCTCCAGTATGAATTTTCAGATGCTGAGCAAGGGATGACCAGTAACTAAAGGACTTTCCACATTCAGCACAATCATAGGGTTTCTCCCCAGTATGTGTTTTCTGGTGTTGGGTGAGGTTTGAGTGCTGGCTGAAGGCTTTCCCACATTCATTGCATTCATAGGGTTTTTCACCAGTATGAATCATATGATGTCGGATAAATGTTGAGGGTCCATTGAAGGCCTTCCCACATTCATTACATTTATAAGTTTTCTCTCCAGTGTGGATTTTTTGATGCTGAGTGAGGTGTGTGCTCCTGGTGAAAGTTTTATCACATTCATCACATTTAAAAGGCTTTTCTCCTGTATGAATTTTCTGATGTTCCATAAAGTGGCCTCTCTGGCTAAATGCTTTTCCACAATCATTACAAGTATATGGTTTCTCACCAGTATGAATTCTCTGGTGCTGGACAAGATGGGTCCTCTGACTAAATGATTTTCCACATTCATCACATTTATAGGGCTTTTCTCCAGTGTGAATTCTTTGATGCTGAGTAAGAGATGGTGCCTCAATGAAGCCTTTTCCACATTGATCACACTTATATGGTTTCTCTCCAGTATGAATTCTTTGATGGTTTATAAGGTTTTCACTTCGGCTGAAGGCCTTTTCACATTCATTACATTTGTAGGGTTTTTCTCCAGTATGTGTTCTCTGATGGCGAATTAGAGCGGAGCAATAATTAAAAGCTTTCCCACATTCATTACACTTACAAGATTGCTCTCTTTTAATTGAGTTTAAATTCTGTTTCACACCGGTTTTCTGTTCCTTACATTTAGGAGAGGTGTCTTCTGAAGATCTTTCTTGATGTGTTACAAAGTTTGAACTCATATTGGTGCTTTTCTTATAGTCATTATTTATAGACACTGTCTTTTCAGTGGTTTTTATCTCTTTTGGCAGTGTCTGTTGGTTTGTCTGCAGCCTATCTAGACTGCCTTCAGATTTACAAGTTCCTAAGAAGTTAGAAATCCCATGATCATCCCTTTTGAGTTTTTCCAGTATTGCTGATGGAGATGGTTTTTCTTCAGAAATGTCTAGCTCTGAGACTGACACATTATTTTCAGGCCTTGTCTTCCAGTCTGAAAGAAAAAGAAAAAAACCAGTATTATCCAAATAGAGAGAGAGAGAGAAAACTAAACTAAACTAAAAAACTGCTATTCTGGGAATAATCTAATAAGACTAAAAATAGAGCCCTCAAGAAATTCTGGGGTTTTTCAATTATAGTCTTATGATTTAGAAGGAAGTTAAGGTAAGGAAATAAAACATAAAATAGCAAGAGACTATCTAGTTCAATTCCACAGACAATCTCCGAGAACTAGTAAAAGAACTCCATTTAAGATACAAGCTACTTTCAAAAGTGGCCATAGAATCGGCCAAGAAGAGATGCAGATGAACTGAATCTAAAGAAGGCATACTGAAGTGGGATTCACTGGTAGTGAAGACTAAAACAAAAGCCCAAGAACCACAATTTAAACACAGGACAAACTGGAAAGATCTGGCTAATTCCTGAGATTTTTAAGCATAAAATAATGAAAGAATATAATAGAAATGGGAAATTTGTAAACAATAGAAGAAATAATTTAAGAGGAATAAGATAGGAAGTTCAAGTCTAGCTAGTCTTTTGAGAATAAGGAGAAGAAATGAAGGACTGGTCTAGAGTAGGTTTTGCTAGAGTGGAAGATACCAAAATTAGGAGATTATTCAAAATGCCCAAATGTAAGATAAGAAATATTAGCTCAACTCAAAAGAGGGAACAAATCCTTATAGGAAGAATCATTCCCACCCCCTCCACACACAGAGTAGACAGGGATGGGCAACTTGGACATTGGCTACCCAAAATGGGGGGCAGGGGGCTACAAAGGCAAGAAGTGACTGGCTTACAAGCTTTCAAGAGGGAACCTAGATCCAGAGGGCCTGGAGGAAAGTAGAATCTCCAGTGAGTAGTATTCAATCTGTCTAGGCGGGGCTGATGCAATGAAATGCAGACGGGTCTCTTGTGATACAATAGTGAATAATTGTTATCAGGACTGATTGTGAGTGTTGGAAATGTAAAGGTAGACATTTTATAGCAAGGAGGGGAATGATTAACTTTTCCGTCTAGGAGTGGAGGTCCCTAGGACCATCAAGGGAGAAGAGCAGAGAGCGGGACCCTACCCAGAGAAGCAGTGATGCCTGAAATGGATGGAGATGATGACGTGGAGCGATGGAGCAGCTGGAGACTTTAGATCCAGAGAGGGAGAGCAACTGTGTGCTGAAGATCTGGGGGGTACGGGGGGAGGGATGCATGGAGGGGATTGTAACCATGGCAATGAGATGATATACAATAGAATGAATGTAAAATTAATGTTCTCCCATGTAAACTATCACATAGTTCACAATAAAACATTTAAGAAAAAATAAAAAAGAAATATTAGCTCAAAACAGTAAGAAAAAGGATAGCTTAAAGCAAAGGAACATGTGTAAGAAAACAGAGGTAGAGGGAAAATCTTTGAGGCTATTTACAGCAATGAGATGAATAAAATATACTAATGAAAAAAACAAAAACAAAACAGTGTATCAGAAAATAAACAAAAGATCAGAAGAGTCAACAATAAAAGGAAAGCACATAACACAAATAGATTTTGCCCCAAACCAAAGAAATGTCAACTAAAAGAAGCAAGGTATACAATCCTGGCAAACTCAGTAAAGAATAAATACTGCAGTTAAAATAGCATTTCCTTGGTTCCACTGATACAGAAGAGTATACCAAACCCTAGAGAACCCTGAGTCTCCCCCATGCAGCCAGCCTAGTAACTATTATTTCATGCGTGGGGCAGAGACTCAAAGATACCTACAATTCCTCCTACACCAGGTATCATATTGTGCAAGGTGTACATAAACATATGCAGCTTCATAACAGCAAAAAATTTCCAGCAGAGACAAGAAGATCAACGTAATGTGACTTTTAGAAATAACCAAAAAGATCTATATAAGAAATGTGTATGCTTTCACCAACAGGAATGACACTAAGAAAAATAAGTTTCTACCATAAGAAGTAACTCCTGGAGATACCTTACAGAGAAGGAGATAGAGATCAAAGAGTCTGATGTTCTCAAAGGAGATAAGTGTGCAAGCGGTTCATCTTCCACTTTGTTTATTGCCTTGAGTTTCAGTTCAAGGCATTAAAAATATACAACAGATTGTGACTGATGTAATTCACCCTGTTGTATCCTCCACGTAATTGCCAGTAGAATTTCCGGAATATCAGCAGTGAAGCAAATAATGAAAGTCTGGAGAAGGCTTCAGAAAGCCAGACTAAGCAGAACCATGCCTACAGCAGAACGCAATTCCTACCTCTTGAGATGCAAAGTCTATAGGCACTGACCATATTATTCATACATACCTGTGTAAGGAGAAGTAATCAAGGGTGCTAATGACCAGGTTGTAGGAGAATAAGGTAAACAAAATAGACCAATGTAACAAAATATTTATCAGGGTTTATGGATCACAATTTTGCAGAGACTATACCACCAAGGCAGTGGTTGTTGTTAAGTGCCGTCAAGTTGCTTCAACCAACCCTGTACAGGGTTTCCAAGGAGCAGCTGATGGGTAAGAGAGAATAAAGAGGATGATAAGGAAAATGCTGAAGACAAGGCCTAGCGTGACTGGCCACCTCAGTGTAGGTACTGCCAGGCTTTAATTATCCATAAGTTGTTAAGTGCCATGGAGATGGTTTCAACTCATAGTGACAGATGGTTCCAACTCATAGTAACTCTGTATAGTGTTTCTGAGGAGCAGCTGGTGAGTTTGAACCACCTACTTTACGATTCAAACAGACTTTATGGTCTAGTGCATTATCCTGCAGTGCCATACCAGGACCATATGTTGTTGTTCAGTGCCATGGAGATGGTTCCAACTCATAGTAACCCTGTATAGGGGTTCTGAGGAGTGGCTGGTAAGTTTAAACTACTGGCTTGGTGGTTCAAGCCAAACTTGCAGTCGAGTGCTTATCCTACAGTGTCACACCAGGACTCCAGGACCATATATTGTTGTCATTGTTAAGGGACATTGAGTCGATTCTGACCCATAACAGCCCTTCATAGGATGCCCAAGGGGTGACTGGTGAACTTCAACCACCGACCTTGTGGTTTAAACTGGCTTTTCAGTCCAGTGCATTAGCCCACAGCACCACAACAGGGCTCCCAGTACCATATAGATACCTACAGAACTGTAAACTATTGTTACCTACACAAAAGCTATCAATCCACTAACTAAGAGTAAATCTGCTCAGAATGTGCTCAAGAGGAAAGAACCAAGGGCTGGTTTCCTAAGGCTACCATCATCATTTTTAGTTATACAAAGACAATAATATTAACAATACAAGAATATACAAAAGAATAGAGTTAAATACCAAATATGCTTTCCTTTTGCCCACTGACTATATAATTGAAACTATTCAAATTATCTATTCAACATAGGGCTTTCATTATTTTTACCTAAATAAAGTTTTTGGTAAGGACTAAACATTTTGTAAAAACCTGGGTTTTCTCTATGCACATTGAAATGTTTTTAAATTGTTTTCTATCTTGTCAAGTTAGGATTTTTTTAAAACTTATCATTTGCAATACAAATTGACAACTTGATTTTTCTAGAATTCAACAAACTGTAAACACCAGTTAATAAAACTCTTATTACAAAAGCAATAGTTATTGTTGTTGTTATTGTTCAGTGCTGTCAAGTTGGTTCCGACTCATAACGACCCTGAATCGGATTTCCAAGGAGTGTCTGGTAGGTTTGAACCACCAACATTGTGGTTAGCAGTCCAGTACTTATCCTACAGCACCACACCAAGACTCCACAAAAGTAATTAGAGTCTCCAAATTGTATTCCATGTAACCATCTTCTAGGGGAAATTTTTAAAGATATGGTATGAAAAAAAAAAAAGGATAAACGAGTCATGGTCAAAGAATTAGAAAAAAAGAGATGCTGCATTCTACGCGATCCTCTTAGAAACTGCCTAGAAATAATCAAATTCAGCATTTCCCAAATTTGACCCTGGCACACTTCTCCACACCCCATATCAGCTCCATAAAAAGAGTCCCCCTCTTCCCTTATCAATACCCAAGGTGGTGTAGTAGTTAAGTGCTCAGGTGCTAATGAAAAGGTCTAAACCTGCCAGCCTCTCTGTGGGAGAAAGTCTGCTTTCATAAAGATTTACAGTCTTGAAAACACACCATGGGGCAGATCTACAGTGTCTTCATGAATCAGAATCGACTCCATGAGCACAGGTTTCTCCCCCTATTAACTCTGGACAGGTATCCCTCAGACAGCAACTGGTGGTGGTGGTGGTGGTGGTGTGCTGTGGAGTCAATTCCGACTCATAGCGACCCTGTTTAGGGTTTGCGAGGCTGTAAATCTTTACAGGAACAGAAAGCCTCATCTTTCTCCCACGGAACAGCTGGTGGTTTCGAACTGCTGACCTTGAAGTTAGCAGCCTGATTCATAACCACTACACTACCAGCCAGCACTCCTTGACAGCAACTAGATTGTGCAATTTTCCAAGGTCACATCCTTAATGAGGTCTGTCCATACAGTTTGGGGTCTTATGGTTTAGACTAAAGTTATTCATAACTTTCGAGGATAGTCTGATGAGATGATAGGCTCAGAATCTACACACTGAGATTAATAAAGGAATAGGTAATAAAGAAACAAGGCTGCAGGTATGCAACTCACTTTTGTTGAGTTTGGTTGGGAAAGCAGGGAAAGACTGGATGGTGGCTATAAAGATGAACTGTGTTGCGCAAACACTATATTAGGAAATGTAAGTTAGCTAGGGAGCTCTAGTAGTGTAGTGGTTATGAGTCGGGCTGCTAATCTCAAGGTCAGCAGTTAGAAACTACCAGTTGTTCCACCGTAGAAAGATGAGGCTTTCTGCTCCTATGAAGATTTGCAGCCTCGAAAACCCTATTTAGAGTCACTACGAGTTGGAACCAACTCATATAACCACCACCGCCAGGGATATAGCCTGCAGATCCCAAAGAAATAGCTGAAAGGGCAGAAGGTGAGGCAATAATTATGAGATCAAGGTCCCCAAAGAAGTGGAAGAAATGGAATCCAGAGTGCAGGCTGAGAGGTTGGCTTTAGGAAAAAAGAGAAAGGACATTTCCTTGGATGTTGTTTGTTGTTAAGTGCCGTCGAGGAGGTTATGACTCATAGCAACCCTGTATAGGGTTTCCAAGGAGTGGCTGGTGAGTCCGAACCACTGACCTTGTGGTTCAAACTGACCTGTGGTCCAGTGCATTATCTTGCAGTACCATACCAAGACTTCTTAAAGGTGGGAATATAAAATAGAATATATATTTGGATAATTTGTGATATGACAAAAGATAAGAGATTCTAGAATGAATGATTCCCCACTTCCCCATAGGAGATACTTTAAACACACTTTGAAGCAAATACATCTACATTTCAGACAAGAATTCCTCTCTTATGAGATTGGTGGTTAGTGTTAAAGACACTCATTTGTTGGGTTTCCATGACTTACCTCCAAAAGGAACACCTGGTTCCACCATCCATGGCTCTGTCCCTTGCTCTAACTGGGAAATCACATCAGGTTTAGAAACTTGAAGTCCTGCTCATGAGAAGAAAAAAAAAAAAAAACTTGTCTGTAATAATGGAAAAGTATCATATCAGAATTAAGTCTTACCACTTTGTTTTTAGAGGAGAGGAGAAGTGGGACAAACCTGACAAGAGTGGATACCTTATCAGGCTTGTCATTGTTGTTCAGTGCCATCGAGTCGGTTCCAACTCATAATGACCCTGTATATGGTTTCTGAGGAGCAGTTGGTGAGCTTGAATCACTGACCTTGCAGTACAGCACATTAACCCATGCACTTAAATGTTACTAATTCCCAGAAAACTGATCTGAGAAAAATTATTAGTTTGTTTGCTTCTCTACTTGTTAATAGAATAGAAACCTTTTCAGACCTTTTGGAACTTAGGAATCTCTGGTTCCTACCCAGCCACCAAAACAAAACTCATTTAAGCACAAGAGCGAACCCAACTTACTTCCAGATATTAACTTAAAAGTCGTTTTTACCTATAGAGACCAGGTGTGTATAATTTTCCAGTGTTACGTCTCTGAACAGATCTCTCTGCACAGGATCCAGTTGTTTCCATTCTTCCCAGGTAAAATCCACAATCACATCCTTGAAAGTCACTGATTCCTGAAATATCAAAATATATCTCTGTTTAGTCATAAAGCATTTACCTGGAAATGACAGAAAATTAGCAATACTGATAGAAGTAAGGACAGGCTATGTGTTTGTTGTTAAGTGCTGTTGAGTTGGTTCTGACTCATAATGACCCTATATAAGGTTTCCAAGGAGCACCTGGTGAGTATGAACTGCAGACCTTGTGGTTCACACTGATCTTGTGGTTCAGTGCTTTGTCCTACAGTGCCACACCAGAACTCCATAAAAGTAAAAAGGACAGAGCATAGGCTATCAGGAAAGTGATTCTGACATTTTCTCCTCTATAATATGAATATAAAAACAGTAATCCATTTTGTTATTGTAAGAATCAAATAAGAGCTGTTCAATGTGAAAATCTTCATTTAGGTTGCAGTCATGTGGGCTACTGTTATTAATCATCATCATCATCTCTGTTTCAAGATATATCAACTAAAACAATGAGACAGTCATAAAGTCAGAAATAGAAATACCCTATGACCCAGCAATCCCTCTACTTGGTATATATCCACAAGAAATATGAGCCAGGTCATGAGCAGATATGTGCACACCAAAGCCTGTCACACCACTATTCACAATAGCAAAAAAAACTTGGAGACAGACTAAGTGCCCATCAATGGAAGAATGGACAAACAAACTTTGGTACATATACACAAAGGAATACTATGCAACCTTGAAGAACAATGACAAATCTGCAAAGCACCTCACAACATAGATGAACCTTGAGGGCATTATGTTGAGTGAAATTAGTCAAGTACAAAGGGCGAATATTGTATGAGACCATTATTGTAAAAGCTTACTAAAAGGTTCCATACTAAAAGAAACATTCTTTGATAATTACCAGGGGCAGGAAGGAGGGGAGAGTAATCCACTGTCTAGAAGATAAATACATTAGCTTGGGTGACAAGGAGGGCAATATACAAGAAGGAAGATTAATACTAAAATCTCAGAAATGGACAACACATTGAAAGAGCAAAGGAGTAGATGTAAAGCAATGGAAACCAAATTAGTGAGGTTGAAGAGAAATCTCTCAATACTAGAATGCTAGAAAAACAATCAGAAAAAAAAAAGACTTTAAAAACCTGAAGAAATCCTAAAAAATTTTGGAGACAACATGAAGGGAAGAATTTATAGGTGACTGAAATTCCAGAACAAGAATAGACAAGCACAGAGAAAATTGTTGAAGAGTTACTGGAAAAAAATTTCCTAGCATCATGAAAGATGAGAAAGATGCAAGATGCCGAACAAACCCCAAACAGATAGTTCCCAAAAGAATGCATCAAAAGAATGGAGGAGTGGAAGGAATACAGAGTCACTGTACCAAAAATAACTGATCAAGACTCAACCATTTCAGTAGGCAGTATATGATCACTATCTGATGATACTGATAGAAGAAGGCCAAGCTGCACTGAAGGCATTCGCAAAAGACAAGGTTCCAGGAACTGATAAAAAACCAACTGAAATGTTTCAACAAGTTGGTGCAGTGCTGGAGGTGGTCACTCATCTGTGTCAAGGAATTTGGAAGACAGCTACATGGCCAACCAATTGTATAAGATTCATATATGTGCTCATACAATGAAACGTGGAAATCATTGAATAATTATCATTAAATCCCAGTGCCAGTAAAATTTTGTTGAAGACATATTTTAAAATTATTATAGCAGTATAATAATACGGAGCTGCCCGAAATTCAAACCAGATTCGGAAGATGATGTGGAACAAGGGGTATCACTGCTGACATAAGATGGATTTTGGCTGAAAGTAGAGAATATCAGAAAGATGTTTACTTGTATTTTACTGACTATGCAAAGATATTTGACTGTGAGGATCATAACAAACTGTGGATAACATTGTGAAAAATGGGTAATCCAGAACACTTAAATTGTGTTCATGAGGAACCTGTATATATAGAACAACAGGCAGTCGTTCTGCTGTTGGCAGAACAGGGATACTGAATGGCTTAAAATCAGGAATCCTTTCACCATACTTATTCAATCTCTATGCTGAGCAAAAGTAATCTGAGAAGCTAAATTACATAAAGAAGAATGTGAAATCAGGATTGGAGGAAGACTATTAACAAGATGCAGATGGCACAATCTTGCTTGCTGAAAGTGAAGATAACTTGAAATACTGATGAAGATCAAAGACTACAGCCTTCAGTATGGATTACACCTCAATGTAAAGAAAACAGATTCTCACATCTGGACCAATAACTAACATCATGATAAGCAGAGAGAAGACGGAAGTTGTCAAAGGCTTCATTTTCCTTGACTCTACAATCAGTACTCATGGATGTTAACAGTCAAGAAATCAAATGATATGAAGTGAGGGGTTAGGCACAAGAACATTCAAACTTGCAGATAGTACCCATTGACCTATTCTCGATGACTTGATAATCAGAACTCGACTAGAGGAAAATAAAAAACAAAACAAAACAATTTTTGATAAAGGAAACAAGGGTAAATTGCTACAATTTGATGAACTTAACCTATACTCATATAGGTAGTAACTCTAAATACCAACAGAGAGTGAAGTAGTCTTCACATCAAGTATCAATGCTATCCCCTTTGTACACAGGGTAGATAGGGATGGGCAACTTAGATATTGGCTACCTAAAATAAGGGGGCGATGGAGGCATGAAGTGACTGGCTTACAAGGTTTTAAGAGGGAGTTTAGATTAAGAAGAATGTGTGGGGGAATAAAAAGTCTCCACTGAATAGTTTTCATCTTGTCTAGCTGGGTCTGGTTAAAAGAGATGGGGATAAGATTCTTCTGATTCAATAGTGAGTAATAGTTATCATGACTAATTGCAACAGTCACAATTGTAAAGGTAGAAGTTTTGTATTAAAAACAGGGGAGCAGTTATCTTACAGTCCAGAAACAGAGGACCCTAGGACCATCAAGAGAGAAGAGCACAAGCAGAATGCGAGACCTTATCCAGAGAAGCAGCAACATCAGATATGGCGGCAGAGACAGGGACACGGAGAGAGGGAATAGCTGAGGACTCTAGATTCATGGGAAGTGAGGGACTGAGGTGGCCAGGAGGCAGACTTGTAGAATGTGCCCTTTGGTGGTATAAATTATGATCTATGCCTAAGTGTCAAAAAAAAAAAAAAGAGCTAAAGTGAATAGAGAGAAATACTGTTATCTGATGGTACATGAAGGGAATTATAATCATTGTAATGAAACAAGGTATATGATTTGTTGAATGTAAAACTGAGGATCTGCCCTGTAAACTTTCATTCAATTCAAAATAAAAACTTTAAAAAAACAAAGAAATCAAATGACGTATTGTATCAGGCAAATCTGCTGCTAAAGACCCCTTTGAAATATTAAAGAGCAAATAAGCCTTGTTGTTTTCAATTGCCTCTATTCATGTGAATGTTGAACAATGACTAAGGAAGGAAGACTATAGAAGAGCTAAGGAGCTCTGGTAGTGTAGTGGTTATGAGTCGGACTGCTAACCTCAAGGTCAGCAGTTTGAAACTACCAGCTGGTTCACAGGAGAAAGATGAGGCTTTCTGCTTCCATAATGATTTACAGTCTCGGAGATACTATACAGCGTTGTTATGAGTCAGAACCGACTCCACAGCACACCACCACCACACAGAAGAAATTGATGTTCGCAAAGAATATTGGAAGTAGCATGGACTTCCAGAAGAGAAAACAAATCTGTCTTGGAAGAAGTACAGCCAGAATACTCCTTGGAAGCCAGGATGGTGTCTCTAGTACTTTGGACATGTTTTTAGGAGGGTCTAGTCCATAGAGAAGGACATTATGCTTGGTAAAGTTGAGGGTCAGTGAAAAAGAGGAAGACTCCCATTAAAATGGATTTACACAGTGACAGTAACAATAGGCTCAAACATAAAATTGTGAGGATGGTGCAGGACCAGGCATTGTTTCCTTCTGTTGTGCACAGAGTTGCTATGAGTCATAACTGACTAGACAGTACGCAAAACAACAACAACATGGACAAAAAAACTGAATGATGCAGGTAAAATCAAAAGAAGATTGAAGGAATACAAAGAATCACTGTACCAAAAAGAACTGGTTGAAGTTCAACCACTTCAAGAGGTAGTATATGATCAAGAACCAGCAGTATTGAAGGAAGAAGTCCGAGCTACACTGAAGGCCCTGGTTAACTGATTGGAAGAGATCCATATTTGTGCTCATTCCAAAGAAGGGTGAACCAATAGAATGTGGAGACTATCAAGCAATATATGAATATCACATGACATTTAAACTTTTGCAAAAGACATTCAAAAATGGTTGCAGCAATACATCAACAGGGAAGTACCAGAAATCTAAGCTAGATCCAGATGAGGATATGGGACGAGGGATAACAATACTGATGTCAGATGGATCTTGACTGAAAGTGGAATATACCAGCAAGATGTTGAGCTGTGTTTTATTAACTATGCAAAGGCTATGTGAATCATAATAAATTATGAATAACATTGAGAAGCATATGAATTCCCGAGCACTTAATTGTGCTAATGTGGAAGTCGTTCAAATAGAACAAAGGGATACTGTGTGGTTTAAAATCAAGAAAGGTGTGCATCATGGTTGTGGCCTTCACCATACCTATTCAATGTGGATGCTCAGCAAATAATCTGAGAAGCTGCATTACATGAAGAAAAATCTGGCATTAGAATTGAAGGGTTCATTAACAACCTGCAATATGGAGGCGATACAACCTTGCTTGCAAAGAAGACTCGAAGAACTTAATGATGATGATCAAACACCACAGCCTTTAGTATGGATTATAACTCAACATGAAGGGAAAAAAACCCTCGCAATTGGATAAATAAGCAACATCATGATAAAATCAGAAAATATTGAAGCTGCCAAGGATTTCATTTTACCTGGGTCCACAATCAATGCACACAGAATTGCTGTCGTTAAGTGCCGTCGAGTTGGTTCCGACTCATAGCGACCCTGTATAGAGTTTCTGAGGAGTAGCTGGTGAGCTTGAACCACTGACCTTGTGGTTCCAAAGCGACCTTCCAAAGTCCAGCACATTAACACACAGTGCCACACCAGGACTAGCACTCAGGAAATCAAACAAATTGTACAAATCTCCTACAAAATATGTCTTTAAAGTATTAGAAGGCAAAGATGCTACTTTGAGAACTAAGATGTACCTGACCCAAGTTAATAGTATTCTCAGTCACGTCAAATGCCTGTGAAAACTGGATAATGAATAAGGAAAACTGAAGAAATATTGATGTCTTTGAATTATGGCACTGGCAAAAAACACTGTACATAATATGGACTGCCAGAAGTACAAATAAATCTGTTTTGGAATAAGTACAACCAGAAGGCTCCTTAGAAGCAAGGATAGTAAGACTTTGTCTCACATACTTTGGACATATTATCAAGAAGGACCACTAGTTCCTGCAGAATGACATCTTGCTTGGTGAAGTACAGGGTGAGTGAAAAAGAAGAAGACCTTCAACAAGATGGACTGACACAGTGCCTGCAACAACGGGCTCAAACACAGAAATGATTGTGAGGATGGTGTAGGACTAGGCAGAGGGTCCAATTCATTCTATTGTATAGAGGGTCATTGTGCGTTGAAACTGACTCAATGGCACCTAACAACAATATCTGGAAGTAGATTACCAGGCCTTTCTTCCTAATTTGTCTTAGTCTGGAAGCTCTACTGAATCCTTTCCATCTAGGTTGTCCTACTGGCATTTCAAATACTGATGGCATAGTCCAGCATCACAACAACACACAAGCCACTGTAGTATGACAAGCTGACAGACATGTAATAGCACTTGAAGATTGTTGTTGTTGTGATGTGTTGTGGAGTTGGTTCCGATGCATAGCGACCCTGTACAGGGTTTCTGAGGCTGTAAATCTTTACGGGAGCAGAAAACCTCTTCTTTCTCCCGTGGAACAGACAGTGATAAATCAAATATGGATATTAAAATCGTAAACCAGTAACTAAAATAACCAAGTCATTACTAATAAACCAACAAAAGAGATAAGAGGGAATTTTAAATATTCACCTCAATATAAGAGTAGAAATTAGAAAAAAGGGAACAAAGACAATACAAATAGAAAATAGCAGGATGACTGATTTAAACTGAGACATATTAAAACCATGTTAAATTTTATTGGTCAAAGAGCCTAAGGAGTCCAGGTACCATTGTGTGTTATGAGTTGGTATGCTAACTGCAGGGTCCACAGTTTGAATCTACCAGTCATTCCTCAGGAGAAAGATGAGGCTTTCTGCTCCTGTAAAGATTTCCAGCCTTGGAAACCCTATGCAGGGTCACTATGAGTCAGAATTGACTTGATGGCACACCACCACCATCTCCACCACCAAACACCCCAGTTAAAGGTAGAGATTATCAGATTAGGCTTCTTAAAAAGGCAAAACCAAACTACATGTTGCCTATAAATTACTTTAAATCTAAAATCACAATTAAGTTGACATAAAAAAAGATGGGGAAAGATATACATTCTAACACTAATCAAAGATCAAAGTACACTACAGAGCAAACAATATCAGCCTAAATATAAAAGATCATTTTTCAATAATAAAGTGGTTAATTTATTAGAACGTAATAATCCTACATGTTTATAACAGAGCTACAAAACAAACAAGAACCAACAGAATAATGGAGCTTCAAAAGAAGCAAGAACCAATAAAACTGTAAACTGAAATGAATAAATCCATAATTACAGTTCAAGATTTTAATATTCCTCTTGTAAATATTTAGCAGCCCTGGTGGTGCGGAGGGTCAAGTAATAGCCTGCTAACCAAAGGGTTCATACCAAGCAGCTACTCCAGGGAAGAAAGATGAGGGGGTCTGATTCCGTCAAAGTTTATAGTCTCAGGAATCCTGTGGAGCAATTCTACTCTGTCCTATAGGGTTTCTGAGTTGAAGTGACTCAAAGTGGGTTTTCTTATAATAATTGATAAAAACAAGTAGACAGAAAATTAATAAACAGACTTGAACAACACTAACAGCCAACTTGACCTAATGGACACCTGTGATAGACAGAAGGGACGCCCAATAATGTTCATGTCCTATTCTTTAAACCTGCGAATATGCTCCTTAACAACAAAACCAAAACCAAACCACTACCATCAAGTCAATTCTGGCTCTTATAGTTAGGGTTTTCAAGACTGTAAATCTTTACAGGGCAGACAGGCTCATGTTTCTCCTGAGAAGCAGCTTGTGGGTTTCAAGCACTGACCTTGTGGTTGGCAGCCAAATGCTTAATCCACTATATCACCAGTGTACGGTACCTAACTTAAGACACAGTTGTTATAACAAATCATACTTAGGCAGTTCTTTTTTGTGTTGTTGCACCTCTTATTGTTAGTAAGGAGCACACGGTGGCTCCCATATGATAAGCATGGGTTGCTATGAGTCAGAACCAACTCCACGGCACTTAACAATAACAACAATATTGTGTGTAATATGCACTACAATACAATGTTGCAAAACATAATTTACTGATGCTATCATTCTCATTTCTTCATGCTTTCTTTTTCAATAACTTCATATGCATGTGAAAGCTGGAAAACGAATAAGGAAGACCGTAGAAGAATTGATGCTTTTGAGTTATGGTGTTGGAGGAGAATATTGAAAGTGCCATGGCTGCCAAAAGAACCAATAGATCCATTTTGGAAGAACAGCCAAAGTGCTCCTTGGAGGCCAAGATGGCCAAACTTCGTCTCTCATACTTTGGACATATTGTCAGGAGGGACCAGTCACTGGAGAAGGATATCATGTTTGTAAGGCGGAGTGTCAGAGAAAAAGAGGAAGATCCCCAACGAGATGGATTGGCCAAGTGGCAGCATTGATGGACTCAAGCATTGCAACAGTAGTGAAGTTGGCCCAGGATTGGGCAGTGATTCATTCTGCTGTGCATAAGGTCACTACAAGTTGGTATCGACTAACATGGCACCTTACAACAACAACAACAACAGTATCATTCTCATGCCACCCACCAAAGACAAATAAAGATTTGATTTACAAAGATATTGTAAAAGATGCCTGTACTCATTTCACCTTTCTTATATTTACCTGTTGTCTTGTTTAGCGGCAAATTTAGTCAATTCAAGTAAAGAATTCAGTTTTGTAATCTCTTTTGTTCTCCCATTACTGGGGCATGGCAAGTACCAAACAAGTGGTGAAATGTACTTCTTAGTTAAAGGCAGAATTAGAAAGGAGCTCAAATTAATTGCCAATATTTATTTTTAGACAAAATACTTCAAGGCAATTGAAGAATATACAACTCAACTCTGAAGAATAAAATGGCATTTCAAGAAATGACAACTTACCTGAAAAATGGCTGATGGGAGTAGAGGGGTTAGTCCTTCCTTATCTGTGTGTCTGCCTTGGAGAAGGGCAGATTCTGGAACGGACAGATCTAGAGGAAGAAGAAGCCACATGAACCTGGCTGACTTAGATGCTCCTAGCAATCTGTAAAATCTACTTAATTTTCTATTTGAAAATAACACAAACTATGCCATTTCTTTAACATTAAGTGAGGGAAAAGATCTCTGTCACATATAAAAAATGAAGAAATAAGCAGATTATTTCCCAAGAATCTTCATGGTGTTGGTGGTGATTAGTTATGTGCTGTAGAGTCAGTTCTGACCCATAAAGACCCTGAATAAGGTTTCTGAGGCTGAAAAATCCTTATTGGAGCAGAAAGCCTCATCTTTCTCCCATGGAACGGCTGGGAGTTTCGAACTGCTGACTTTGAGGTTAGCAGCCCGACTCATAACCACTACACTACCAGAGCTCACTGAGTCTTCATAGGCTCTATGAAAATGTGTTATGCAAGCAATTTAAATAAATATCACATTGATAAATACTAGGCACCCACCAGAATGGATAAAACTAAACTATCACGGTCAATACTAACTGCTGGCAAGAATGCAGAGGAATTGGAACTTTTGGATAGGCACACCTAGTTTCATTGCTCTTCGCTTTATTACGTACGCTCTGCAGATCAGGTATTTTTTGTGTGTGCTATTTACAAATTGAAGGTTTTACTGTGTTGAGCAAATCTAAAGTCTCCATTCTTCTAAGAGCACTGCTCATTTCATGTCACATTTTGCTAATTCTCACAATATTTCAAACTTTTTCACAATGCTATTATACACTATTTTGTTGTTAAGTGCTGTCAAGTCATGGAGACACTTTACAGGGTTTCCGAGAAGTGGCAGGTGTGTTTGAACTACCAACCTTATGGGTTAGCAGTACAACGATTAGCCAGCCTATTGCACACCAGGACTCCTAGTAGACCATAGCATAGTAAAAAACATAACTTTTATATTCACTGAGAAACCAGAAAATTCATGTACTTGTTTTATTGCAACATTAGCTTTAATGTGGTGGTCTAAAACAGAATCCACAATACCGCCAAGGCAGGCCTGTATATTGCTGTGGAGGTATAAATATATCAACCACTTAGGAAAACTGTGTGGAAGTATATATATCAAGCTAAACATATGCCTACCCTCTGACTCAGCAATTCTACTTCTGTGCATATACCCTCCGGAGCAGTCAATTACTTGATATGGCTCTTCTAGCTATATGCTGTTGCTGTTAAGTGCTGTGGAGTTGGTTCTGACTCATAGCAACCCTGCACAGGGTTTCTGAGGAGCAGCTGGTGGGTTTGAACTGACAGTTTCGTGGTTAGCAGCCCAGTGCTTATCCTACAGCACCACACCAAGAACTCAAGTGCCTGGGTTGTTGCTGTTGTTAAATGCCGTACAGTCAGTTCTGATTCATAGTGACCCTGTATAGGGTTTCCAAGAAGCGGCTGGTGAGCTTGAACCTCTGACCTTGCAGTTCAGCACATTAACCCACAGTGCCACAGGACTATGCAAATGTGAGGTGTTTGTGGACCATTAAGAGGATTGGATCACTTGTTAATATAAATAAGATACATGGCACCACTGTGGGGTGGGGTCATGCAAATAGTGTATGGAACTCTTAACGTCAGGATTGGTCAGTTTTGCCATCCCATTAGATTTCAAATGAGCCATATTAGAAACAGAGGTAGAGATCTCTCTACCATTAAGTAAGAAATAGGAGTGGAACATGTCCTTTGGACTTGAGAGCCCTATGCCAAATCTCATTGATCCAGGAGATGAAGAACTACGACACCAGAGAGGTGGCAGAAAAGTGGCAGCAACAGAACCAAGAGCATGAGACAGAGTGGTGAGCGTTCTGGTCCACAGAGGAAGAAAGTTAAGTGCCTTCTGACAGGAGATTTTCTTGCAGGGTGGGTATCTCCCAGGTATTTGTCTAGGGACTAGGTTTGCTGACCCACAGAGCTAGAGTTGAGCTCCTTCAGGCTTACTGGTGGAATAGAGTACCTTTTGGATATTTATCAGCAGAGCTAAGAGAACTTTGTTAACATTTATCCAAGCAGGGCAAAGGCCAAGGGGTTGCGTGGCTGAGAGACTGAGGGCCAGAGAGATACTGGCTGATAAGAGGCTGTCCTGATGGAAGAACTGTACTTCTGATTCTAAACTGTAACCTGTTACCTTTTCTAAACCTCATATTTGTGAGTATGATCTATAAGTTCTATTTAGCCATTGCAACAGATTATTAAGCCAGTAAAGAGGTAGAGAATGCCATGGGAGGGACAGCTAGTGTCAGAATTGGTAAAGAAGGTTGGAGGGTGAAGACACAGACCTTTGCCTAATCGGAAGCTACCTTAGTGTGTTGCTGACTTTGAATCTCATTCTCCCTTGTGAAGTTAGAGTTCAGACACTGCCCCTGTGTCACTTTTATACATCCATAGAAATGAGTGCTTAAATCCTCCAAAAGACTTGTACAAGAATGGTCATAACAAAACTGTCAGTACTATTCCAATACTGGAAACAACCTAAATGACCTTCAAAAGGAGACTGGATAAAGAAATTGGTATATTTTATATATGGAATACTACTCCACAATAAAAAGAAAAAGCTATTCATATACATACCAATATGGATTCATCTCATAAACATAATATTGAACAAAATAAGGCAGACACAAAAGAATATATATGACTCTATTTATATGAAATTCAAAAACAGACCAAATCAATCTATGATGATGTGTGGTGCAATGAATTACTTTACATGGCCTTTTTAGCCCGTCTTTGTAACTCCCACCAAATGACTGGGTGTAACTATGCAAATCAAGTGCTTGTGGCCCATCAAGAGGATTGGATAGCTTGTTAATAATGTAAACAAGGTGCATGGTACCTGTGTGGGGGTGAGACCCGCAAATAAGGTTTATAGAACCTTAATGAGGGGAATTGATCAGTTTTGTCATTCAACTGAGTTTAAAATGAGCCATCCCAGAGGCTGTGGGGAAGGGTGGGGAATCTCATTATCATCAAGAAGCCAGGAGCCAAGGATCCCTTCACTGAAAACAAGACCTAAGAGACTGAGAGAGCTATAATACTGGAGCCCAGAAATAGCAGTACAAAACTTAACAACAAACAAAAGAAAACTATATTTTGCTCTTTAGTTGGTCTAGTCATAGGGTACTGGTTGACTGGAAAGCCCAATTCTCAGATCAATTTCCCTGGTAATTAACAGCATAGAATTATGCAAGTCTTTTGTCCTCTCCAAGCTTCAATTCCCTCATCTTTAAAAAAACAAAACAAAAAAAACGTGGAGACAAATATTGGTAAATACAACTTTTAAAACTCTTCTGAGGAGATACTGACGGGAAAACTAAACTAGGTGTACAAATTTCTACAAACAAGTTGCTGTTCTGCCTCATAGAGAGCCTGTATAGGATTTCCAAGGAAAGGCTGGTGAGATTGAATCACTAACTTTGCTTTAGAATGACCTTGCAGTCCAGTGCTTATCCTACAGCCCCACAGCAGGACTTCACAAAGCAGGCAGGAGGAATTTATGGAAGCAGACTGTCACATACTTTTCCCCCAGGACATCTGGTAGGTTGAAATCACTGACCTTTCAGTTGCTAGTTGAACACTTAATCACTGTGCCACCAAGGCTCCTTGAAATTAGATATAAAACTAAAAAATTCAACCCACTAAAAGGTTCTGACTCACAGCATCCCTACATATGGTTTCCAAGACTATAAATCTTTCTTTTTCTCCCACAGAGTGGTTGGTGGATTTGAACTGCTGACCTTGTGGTTAGTAGTCCAGTGATTATATCATCACCAAGACTCCTCTGAATGAGAAAGCAGGAGCTGTGAAATAGAAGAAATATGATGTGGTAAGAGCTGCTTGGTAAAAATCAAAGGGGAGAGAAAAGGCCAAGAATGCTTGTTGTTATGTGCTATCGAGTCGATTCCAGCTCATAGTGACCCTGTATAAGGTTTCCAGGGAGCAGCTGGTGAATTTGAGCCACCCACCTTGCAGTTCAAACTGACCTTGTGGTCCAGTGCTTATCCTACAGCGCCACACCAGGACTCCTATGAACACAGAAATTCATATACCACTGAATGAGGTCGGGGCAATAAACCAAGTAAACTTACACCTGAACAAACAAAAGAAAACACAATTTTTAAAGTATTACTAAGGTTTATTGAGATGGAAATTGTAACTGGACTAAGGCCATTAAAATATATACCAGTTGTCATCAAGTGAACTCCAACTCATGGTGATCCCAGGTGTGGCAGAGTAGAACTGTGCTCTATAAGATTTTCAGTAGCTACATTTTTGGCAGTAGATCACCAGACCTTTCTTACAAGGCACTTCTGGGTTGACTCAAACCTCCAACCTTTTGGTTAGTAGTTGAGTACTTTAGCCTTTTGCACCACCCCAGGACTCTATTAAACTATAGAACTTAACAAACAAAAAAGCAAAAATTCCTTGGGGAACTTAAACAATAATAAGAAAAGCTGAATAAATAGAACTAGATAACAACTAGGTCACCTCAGGTGTTCTGGGTTGGATCATTAATGGGCAGTCTCTTTAGGATACTACCATTATGATGGGTCTACCATCACAACCACCAGTCTCTGTAGAACCAGTTCTGATTCATGGCAACACTACATGCGCATTATATGATTTTATTCCCAAAATTTCTATTCCAGAGGGATTTCAATGGCCTGGTATGGGTTTCATAACCAAGTCCTGCCTAAGAGAAGGCTGGGTATAAATTTCTTACAATAATCTCACAGAAACAGGTGGACTAACTGTAATTATTAGAGTGAAACTTGATGCAAATAATAGACAAACCAAAAAAAAAGGAGAAAAAAAAAAAAAAAACACAAAAAAAACAGCCCAACACTTGTTAAAATAGCATGTGGACACCAAACCTCATCTAACTTCACAAAAGGAGAAACAGAAAGAGAAAAAAAGATCCGCATCGGCCCAAAGCTGATTCCTTTTAGGTGGAAGCTGGACATATCTCCTATTTCTAACCTTTTTACCAGTTCTGATACCAGCAGTTCCTCCCAAGGTACTCTACTTCTCTGCTGAGCTCTATAATTTGTTGCAATAGCCACACAAGAACTCACGTGTCATACTCACAATTGTAGGGTTTGTTAGGGAAGAAAAAGGTTACAATTTGAGATCAAGATCAGGAGATGGGCATCAGGAAACATGTAGGCAAAGTCTCCCTTCTTCAGTACAGAAGAGCTCTCTCAGCAACTCTTGGCTGTGCAGGGCTCCTCGTGGCCCCCTGAGGACAGAATCCTCTCAGGCTCCTCAAGATAGGCTCCGCTAGGTCCCTTAAGACAGGCCTCCTCTATCAGATCTCAGCCCTCAGTCTGGCAAGGTAAGTGTTACAAGGCTTTTTTAGCTCTGCTGATAAATACCCAGAAGCATCCAGTCCACAAAGCCTGCTGCCTGAAGATGCTCTCTTACTCTGTGGGGTAGGAGTGCCATCTGGTGCTGGTTTCTTGGTTCTGCTGCTGCTGCTTCTCACCATCTTATACCATCTCCAGTATTAAAACTCTCGCTGGGATTCCAGGCCCAAACACACTCTGCTCCTGGCTTCTTTATGTTAACGAGCTTCCTCCTCCTCCCAGCCTCTGGGATGGCTCATTTTAAGCCTGCCTAGCTGGCAAAACTAACCAATTTCCTCATTAGGGTTCCAAACCCTTATTTGCATGGGTCCATAAGGAGCTCTGGTAGCAAAGTGGTTATGAATCAGGCTGCCAACCTCAAGGTCAACAGTTTGAAACAACAAGCAATTCCGTGGGAGAAAGATGAGGCATTCTCCTCCTGTAAAGATTTACAGCCTCGGAAACCCTGTGCAGGGTCACTATGAGTCAGAAGCGACTCCACGGTACTTAAAAACAACAACAATCCCTGTAAACAACAACAACAACAACAACAAAGGATATTATGCTAACAGGTTAACCCATACCTAAAGACTGTAAAGGCAATGCCAATGCAGAGGGAGGACACAGGGCTCTGTCTATACCCTGACTTGTTCAATGACATACAGGAAGAAATAGAAGGAATATTAATCAAATCTGCTAATGACATAAAGTTGGAAAGAAGAATTAAAGCACTAAATAACTAAATTAGGATGCAAAATTCTTACAGGCTGAAACACTTGGTCACAAAATTGAACAAGCATAAATGTGAAGTACTTATATTAAGGATAAAAATAAAACCATTACACAAGAATGGTATAAATCTAGTTTGGTGGTGGAGTTGTGCCATGGAGTTGGTTCTGACTCACAGTGACCCTGCATAGGGTTTCTGAGGCTGTAAATCTTTACAGGAGCAAAAAGCCTCATCTTTCTCTCATAGAATGGCTGGTAGTTTTGAACTGCTGACTGAGGTTAGCGGTCTGTCTCGTAACCATTATGCTACCAGAGCTCCTTAAATTTAGTTTACTGAAGTCTATATAAAAAGGATTTCATATAGTTTATAATACATTGTCACTGTGTTTTTAGAAACATGTACAATCTGACATTAAACAACAGAAGTGTAATCCCAACAGAAAAAAGTAGTACATTGTACTTTTGGGGATTTTTTCAAAGTATATCTAAAGAACCTAGTATATTTTAGACATTGCATTTTAAAAAGAATGCTGATGAGCAGGAAAGTTGTCAGAGAAGTCTAGATATCATATCAAATGAAGATGTATCAAAGAAAAAGAGGCTATTTTGCTTAGGAAAGAAATGAATTTGTGAGAAAGAACTTTAATTCAACTATGCCAAAGGCAGCTATGTGAGAAAAAGAGCAGAGGTCACTTTTGCTTTGGAGACAGAACTAAGATCAACAAAGAAGTTAAGAGAGGCAGGCAAGCACTTATCCAAATATGTTGTTGTTGTTGTTAGGTTCCGACTCATAGCGAGGTTCGCAGCCCTATGCATAACCACTACGCTACCAGAGCTCCAAATATAAGATATTGAAAAAGAAAGACAGCCAGGGAATAATAATAATCCCAAACCCACTGCTGACTAGTTTAGTTCAATGTCACATTCTTCAGGCAAAGGTGTGTGAAGAATACATCTGCCAAGGATATTTTTTAAATGGAGGGATAGCTACTAAGATTTTCTCTGAATGTAAGATCACCACTCTAATATTTCATAAACTGAAGCTATGTGGGGTTCACAGACATTTGGTATCATTGTTCCTTTTAATAAACTCTTCCTCCAAGTCTCTTTAAATAAGTGTCTCTCCCTATAATGTAATTCTGTTTCCTTTCTTTATTCTCTAAGCATATTGAATTCTCTTAGGTATTTCACCTCCCTCCCCCATGACCGCTCTCTTGACTCCATCACCTCCTTCCCCCACCCCCCCTCAGTCACTCCCACTACCTTCCATCTCAGGAGCTCATCTGTTCCTCTGGAACATAGGCAAGAGTTTCCCAGACAATGTCCCTCCAGCTGAGATCTTGGTCTGGGGCTCAGATGTTCACCTCTCCCTGCAAGGAGCCTTACATACGCTGAGGCTGGCTGCCCTAAAAAAAGAGTGGAATCAGCAACATCCGTCACACGATCATACTCAGAGTCTTGTAGAATGGCCAAGGGGTCCCTTACAAGAGAAGTGACCCGAAAGTACACCAAACAAGCATGTGGAGCTCCCATTGAACAAAAGTAGAGTAGACTTAAAAAAAAAAAAAAAGTAGAGTGGAGGTCAAGTAAGCAGGGTTAGCCAAGATCCCAAAAAAACACTGGTCTTCATTCTAGAGTCTGGCCAGGTCCAGCCTGGTCCCTTCGTGCACAACAGGGGACTCAAATCTCTGCGGGTTCGAATATAGGAAGACACACCTGTTGCGAGGAGGAAAAGCTGGAAGAAGGAGCAGAAGGGCGTGGCCTGGCTCCTGTCCTCACTCAAGAACCGAACAAAAGAACAAAGTCCTCCAAGGCATTAGGGCGGGCCCAGCAAAAGCTGAAGGAGGAGCGGGGCGTCCCAGTCTAGGGCCCTCTAGCCCTTTTTCTCTCTAGGGCCGCTAAACACTAAGCCCGAAGGGTGACGTTAGGCACCCAGAAGGCCAACGGTTGCCATGGTGATACCTGTTCTGCCCTTCCCCTTCATCCCCTCCGTCCTTATTCCCTGCAAGCTCGACCCGCGCACTCCGATCCAGAGTCCGGAAGCACTAGGGTGGTGCAAAGTGAGACCAGATACTGGACCTCCTAAATGCCCGCCTCTTTTCTTGCCTACAGTCGGCTTCAATGGCCACTTCCGGTCGGGCCGAGCGCTTCCCACCCCAACACGCAGGTTCCTTAGCGCGCAGGTTCCTTAGACAGTGCTCGCCGGGTACGCAGAACTACTATTCCCGGCATCCTTTACGATGACGTTCCTAGTTTCTATTACCCAGAGGATTTAGCCGGCCTGCGCGTTGGTGATGCTCGAGGTCCGGCTCTGACTTGCCAATTTCTAGGGGTGGTGCGGTAGGATCCGCGCTGCTCTAGGTTAGCAGTTAAAACCCACCAGCAGCTTATCGCAAACCCTAAATAGGTTCGCTATGAGTCGGAGCCAACTCCCGATGATACTCAATAACAACTTGTGTGGCACTGTAGGATAACTGCTAACCACAAGGTCGGCGGTTCAAACCTACCAGCCACTCCTTGGAAACTCTCTACTGGGTCGCTATGAGTCAGAACTGACTCGATAGATAGCACTTAACAACAGCAACTTGTGTGGCGCAGTAGGATTAGCACTCAAACGGCGAACCTCAAAGTAGGTGGTTCGAACCCACCAGCTGCTGCTTGGAAACTCCACAGGGTCGCTGAGTCTAATGTGGGTATACAGTTAGTGTGGTAACCCTGAAACTTCTCTGACCCGGTCTGAATGTATTTGTTAAATACATGCAATGTAAAGATGGGCTCCTAGTGTGGCACTATAGGATCAACACGGGACTGTGAACCACAAGGTTGGCTGTTTAAACCCACCAGCTGCTCCTGGCTAGATGGCACTTAACTAGAACAACATGCACTCACTTCTAGTAGCCTGCTGTACCGGTCCGCTCTACTCATGACAGGCGAAAGAATGTCTAATCTGTCAAGATCAAGAAAAATAAGGACAACGTGAAGTTTAAGATTCCGTGCAGCAGATACGGCTACACCTTGGTCATCACCACCTTGGTCATCACTGACAAGGAAAAGGCCGAGAAGCTGAAGCAGTCCCTGCACCCAGGTTTGGCAGTGAAGGAGCTGAAATGAACTGCAGAAAAATAATGTTTAAATCTCAAAGAAAAAAAAATTGTTGTGACCCATTAAATTGTTCTCATGATTTAGTTGGTAGCCCAACCCACATTTTTAAACTCTGAAAGAAACCAAAGTTGGTGACTGCAGAGTTTTCCCCTACAGTTGTGCATTATATATGCCTACATCAGTGGATGGAAGGCCAGACTGTTAGAGTATACTCTGTAGAAAATCAAACAGAAGTTTATAAGTGTTTATATTTTGAAGGTGCAGTCCATGCACTTTGTTGTACTTCCATGCATCCCCAACATTTGGCTAAAGAAGGTTAAGGTCAAGTTGTCACTCAGCCTATGTGATGGTGGCTGTGTGCCATGGAGTCGGTTCCGACTCATAGTGACCCTGTACAGGGTTTCTGAGGCTATAAATCTTTACGGGAGCAGAACGCCTCATCTTTCTCCCGCGGAACAGCTGGTAGTTTTGAACTGCTGACCTTGCAGTTCGCAGCCTGATTCGTAACCACTACGCTCAGCTTATACACAGCACTTTAGTATATGAAAAATAAAGCTATAATCAAGGGACAAAGAACAACATCTAGAGGTGTCAAGAGGCAGATTTCTGAAAATAATGTAACTACAAAAAAAAATTCAGGAAACAATTTGGCATTCTTAATAGATTGCAGGAAGACATGGCCTGCATGGAACAGGAACAGAACACTGTGAGACAGAAGACTGAAATTAAAATAAAAATTTAAAAAGATGAAAGGGTAGATGAATGAGACTGAAAATATAGCAAACATTTTAAGTGAAGCAGCATAAAGTCATTCTTTATGTTGAATTGATGAACAAATTGATGCTGCAGAAAATTGAAACATATAGAGGATATTCTTTTAAAGATGATTCAAAAGGAAAAGATGGAAAAAAGACAGAGTAAGAGAAAGTGATAGATGTGAAGGACAGAGGATGGAAAGTCAACATGTGGATAATTGGCAATCACTAAGGACCAACTGCCATGAGCAAGAGTCAACTGACTGGCACTTAAAAACAAGTAGAGACCAGATTCAATTAGCTATCATGTAACACTTTCTCTGTGTCAAGCAGTGTTTTCAATGCTTTACATATATTGAGTTATCCAGTTCTGAAAGCTTTATGTAGTTACTTCTGCAGTATTATTCTTACTTTACCAAAAAAAAAAAGCAAATTGAGGTACAGATAGATTGAGTCATTTGTGCAATTATAGGAATCTATGCACCCAATCCCTGGAGAAGGACATCATACTTGGTAAAGTGGAGGGTCAGCAGAAAAAGTGGTAGACCCTTAACTAGATATATTGACACTGTGGCAGCAACAGTGGGCTCAAACCTAAGAATTGAGAGGATGGCTCAAGACTGGGCAGTGTTGTTCTGTAGTACATAGGATTTCATTGAGTCTGGACCTAGTAACATTCATTCAAAGTGCCCAGGAAAATACCTTGTCTTGCAGCCTTAGAGTATAAAATGAAACGTACATGAGAAAACAAAGCATAAAGCCTTGGTAACTTTAGTGACAATGAACCTCTGCCTGGCCAAAAATCAAACTAGGATCTTCCTTATGGATGGAGCCAGATGAGGGGAGAGGTGGAGAGGAACTCAGGAACCACCTATAAAATTCGTCCTTAACCTAACAAAAGTGTGGAAGCGCATTGTGAATTGCAAATTGCTTGCAAACACCCTGGGGCTGATAGTGTAGGCCTAGGTGCTAGAGCTAGAGGATGCCAGGAGGCTTTTCCCAAGTTGTTTTCCTCGTACTTCACCAGGGAAACCCAAGAACCTTAATGCCTGGAATTTGGAAAACAAAAGTGGCTTATATCAGGTCTAGAATGAGGATGTGAAGGGTCTGAGAATACAGAGACCTTAAATTGTCAGGAAACGCCCAGGAACTCTTCCAGGGCTGTCAGTTTCCACCCTGACTGAGAGAGCCTGATCTTTACCAAACACTCACTTCACCTGAGGTTTTTAAAAATCTAACTTGTAGAGTACTTTTTTTTTAATTAAATGTTTTTATTTTGGATTGAGTGAAAGTTTACAGGGCACATCATCAGCTTCACATTCAACCATTCATATAGCTTGTTTCATTACATTGATTATTATCCCCTCCATATATCATCAGTTAACAGTGTTTCTCTCTATCCTCTTTAGCTTTTTTTTTTTTTTTTGGATGGGGTGGGGGACTTGCCTTTTTGGAATTTACAGTCTCGGCTTTTAGGGAAGGTTTTTACATTTGTCTGTGGATATCCAGGTCTCATGTATGAGATTACTAACAAGCATTACTGAATAATCAGATGAGGGACAGTTTGCTATGTCTACTAGGTAGCTAAAGTCTGATCCTCAGAGCCTATGGTTTGGACGGTCAACAACGCTTGGGCCCACAGGGGCTTGGCCTCCTGACCGGGTCTGCACGGTCTGCATCCGAATCCTCCTTATTTATTGTTTGTTTAAGGGACGCTGCCTGTCTTAGGCGGTCAGTGCGAATTCCTCAGTCTTACCAGTCATTGAAACTCACTGCAGCATGGCAATGGCTCTGTCTTAAGTTGCCGAGGTTCCACGTCCAGCATAAACAGCCGCCATCCGAGGAAGGCAGGGAGGGAGGAGATCGGCTGGGGACCCCATACGCAAGACATTGCCAACCCACCACCTGCTCTAAGGTGACCAAGCAGAATCACTATGCTGAGGTTCAATCAAGTTCTTAGGGGATCTTACTCTCTAGCAGGGGTAGCAAATTAGTAGCCACTCAGTGTTCACTTTGAGAATTACTTATATCATAAATTTGAGCATGTAGCTGATGAATATCCACAGACAAGTGTATATTGTTCCACAACCTCCTAAAATGCTGTTGGATTAAGTTCCAATCAATTTCTGGGTTACTGAAAGATAACACAAATCTATTTATACCATGAGCAACCTTAGCTGAGAGTGTAATCTGGATATATTGAGTCTTATTTTAGAGTACGTTTTCTTGATCACAAAGCAGTTTTTACCCTTATTAAAAACAAAATGACATGATGTCAGATGAAATTTCCTTTTATGGAGTTTAAAAGCAGTTGAACCCCGTGTAGTCGTGGCCGAGTGGTTAAGGCGATGGACTAGAAATCCATTGGGGTTTCCCCGCGCAGGTTCGAATCCTGCCGACTACGGGTGTTTTTCTCCTCGTGTTTAACATAAATTGGAATAGAATCAATGCGACACAAACCATCAGAAACGGCTGACGAGAACCTTGGTTGGGCTCCCAACGCACATTCATCCACGAAAGGAAAAAAAACTAGAAGTACACTGAATAGATTCCTAGCCAATTATTTTCCCTTAGTGAAATGCATGTCTCTGTTCCGCATTTGCATTCCCTGCCTGCGAAATCGCTTGAAGTCTCTCAGTCAATGAGCTCCCCTTTCAGAGTCTAAGAACTGAGAAACTGTAGTTATGGATACAGTATGGGAATCAGTGCATCACAATGAAAGCGAGGACATTTTTTTTTTTTTTAATTACGGTCTCATAAAGCGCCATCGCCGGCCTTCCCACCGCGTTGGCCTGTCCAGAGGGCTTAGAATGGACTCAGGACTATAGGTTCTGATATTCTCAGCTCAGACGCAGAGTCACAGTGCTGTGTTGTTGTTGTTAGGTGCCACCGAGTCGGTACTGACTCACAGCAGCCTTATGCACAGCAGAATGAAACACTGCCCGATCCTGGGTCAACCTCACTACTGTTGCCACGCTTGAGTCCATCAGTGATGCCACTTGGCCAATCCATCTCGTTGGGGTCTTCCTCTTTTTCCCTGACCTTCCACCGTACCAAACATGATATCCTTCTCCAGCGACTGGTCCCTCCTGACAAT